CGAGAACGCGCTCACGCGCTTTCTTCCGCGCATTCACGGTCACCACGTGCTGATCCGTTCGGACAATATAGCCGTGGTCTCCTATCTAAACCGCCAGGACGGAGTCAGATCCAGGAATCTCTTCCGGCTGACAGAACGCATCTTAGTTTGGTCTCAGTGTCACCTGCTCTCGCTCAGAGCAACGCACGTGCCGGGCCATCTGAACGACGGTCCAGACAGTCTGTCCAGGAACCCCATTCCCCCCGGGGAATGGTCCCTGCACACTCTTACAGTCCAAAAGCTGTGGCGAATATTCGGCAGAGCAGAGGTGGACCTCTTCGCCTCAGAAGAGAACACCCACTGCCCAATATTTTTCTCAAAGAGCAAGGACGCGCTAGCCCAGACCTGGCCCAGCCGCCCGCTTTATGCATTCCCTCCGGTTTCTCTGCTACCACAGGTGCTTCAGAGAATCAGGGAAACACGCCACTCGGTGCTCCTCATAGCCCCGTGTTGGGAGGGTCAGACTTGGTTTCCGGAGCTCACTCAGCTGTCACAGACAGCCCCGTGGCCCATTCCAGTCAGAGCAGATCTCCTCTCCCAAGCTCGCGGCACGATCTGGCATCCCCACCCAGAGCGCTGGGCGCTACATGCGTGGGTGATCAACAACTACCCGTTACTTTGCCAGAGGGAGTGTTAAACACGCAGGCTTTGCAGATCATGCAGGCTAGAGCGGCTTCTACTAGAAGGCTCTATGCGTCTAAATGGTCTGTGTTCTCTAAATGGTGCACCGACAGAAATTTGGACCCACGGTCATGCGAGGTTCCTTCCTTGCTAGTTTTTCTCCAAGAGATGTTGGACAAGGGCAGATCCCCGTCCACTCTCAAGGTGTATGTGGCAGCCGTCGCAGCGTTCGTTGAACCCCGGCGCGGCCAGTCACTGGGCAAAGATGGCTTGGTCATCCGCTTCCTCAGGGGAGCTAGAAGGATGAACCCCCCACGCCCCCCTTCGGTGCCGATTTGGGACCTTTCCATAGTTCTCGAAGCTATGAAAGCCCCCCCATTCGAACCGCTAAACACCGTGGACCTCAAATACCTTTTGCTCAAAACCGTTTTACTGCTCGCGCTCGCGTCAGTAAAACGTGTGGGAGACCTTCACGCGCTTGTCCATTAGCGCTTCCTGTCTCGAGTTTGGGCCCAATGACTCCTTAGTAGTTCTCAAACCTAGACATGGTTACGTCCCAAAAGCGATTGGTACCCCGTTCAGGGCACAAGTTATTTCCCTATCGGCTCTGCCTGCATCCGATAGCGAATCTGACTCTAATCTCCTGTGTCTGGTCAGGGCCCTGAGATTATACATTACTCGCACTGCTCCGGTCAGACGATCTGAGCAGTTTTTTGTTTCGTTCGGTGGGCGCACCAAAGGGTTGGCCGTCTCGAAACAGACTCTATCCAGATGGATAGTTGATGCCATTGCAGCCGCATACGCATCAAAAGACCTGCCATACCCTCTGGGCATCAGGGCTCATTCCACTAGAGGCATGGCCTCATCGTGGGCATGGTCCAGCGGAATTTCCATTCATGACATTTGTGTGGCAGCGGGATGGGCTTCCCCCTCCACCTTTGTCAGATTTTACAATCTGGAAGTTCCCGCCTTGCAGGCTAAACTACTAGCAGTCTAGTATGTTACAGCTCTTCTGGTTGAGCTGCACTATAGGGAGTTATTCACACAGACTGGTTTCGCTCTGTCCCTCTCTATCATGTGCTTATACTACACAGTCTCCGGCCCGCTCTGCTGGCCTTTGTCACATGTACATTTATTCCCACTCATAAGGGTTCCCTGGGGTCTCCCCTGGGACTCATAGTGCACTGTAAAAAAAAATCCTAATTTTACACAAAATAACTGATTTTTTGACGATCATTTTCTTTCATTTTAAATTGTACTCAAAACACTGTAAAATTACAAATAATATCTGTCAAATAAAAATTCAACTGTTATTTTAGGTATTGTGACATTAATGACAAATTGCAGTAATTCACATTTTTTATACAGGAAATTGATTGTATTTTTCATACAGTATTTTTTCTGTTTTCTTAAATTACATAAAAATGTATGTAAAATTACAAATATAATCTGTAATTAAACAGTAACAAAACAGTTAAATGATAAAACGGTCAAATGACTGGCAGCCCCCAAAAAACTGTAACATTAAAGTAAAAAATCCTATATTAAATAAACTGAAAAACACTGTGATAATTCAGGATATACCTGTAAAATAACAATAATATACCTTCAGTGGAAAAAAAAATCGTAAAAAAAGGGTCAAATGACTGGCAGCTACGGCTGCCAAACAAAAACCATAAAATTAAAGTAAAATCTTCTAATTCAAATAAAACAAAAAAACACTGTTATTTCACAGGTATTTCCTGCATTATTATGATCATATACCTTCATTGTAAAAAAATCGTAAAAAAAAGGGTCAAATGACTGGCAGCTACGGCTGCCAAACAAAAACCATAAAATTAAAGTAAAATCTTATAATTCAAATAAAACAAAAAAACACTGTTATTTCACAGGTATTTCCTGCATTATTATGATCATATCCCTTCATTGTAAAAAAATCGTAAAAAAAAGGGTCAAATGACTGGCAGCTACGGCTGCCAAACAAAAACCATATAATTAAAGTAAAATATCCTAATTTAAATATAGTGTAAAAAACTTTAATAGAAATGTGATGTCACCATGATTGAGATCAGTGTTTGCTTTAGTTGGTCTCATGACTCTTGAGTTTCAACATAACTTTTTCTCTGGTTGCTTTAACTGTGTTTTGATGCACATTTATTATGGCAATAATTGCAAGAGAAAATATAAGATGATCTTGGTCATTTATTGATGATTTTATAGTCATCATATGATGATCTGATTCATTGTTATGACAGTCAAATCTCTATTGGCTGTGAATACATTATATATAGATGGACTTTAGTGTTATACAAAGTTATACTTTTTTTCACATGATTTGTTGAAATATTGTGGGATCAGTATTATTGCAATCTCAATTAAAAAAAAAAATATATATATATATTCTACAAAATTTTTTTTGAGTTGGTTTATTTTGTTAGGAGTATAGAGACATCAAGAATCAACATATGAATCTCTACAATGGTGACAATCAACAAAGCTTTTTTGTGACTTTATAATAGGTCAGAATTTTTTTATTGTCACCATTGTTGAGATTCACACGCTAATTCTTGATGTCTGAGTGAGTCTGTATGATCCTGTCAAAACATTGTTTGCATAATGACTTCATAAAATCTTATTTAACAGCATTGTAGGATATTCTATAGCAATACTGTCATTCAAAATTAACAATTAACATTTTACAACTTAATCAGCCATTAAAAAGTCATACCAATCAGGTGGTATCAATACAGCAGACAACTGCTTGATGAATATTATCACTATTAAGTGACCAACATCATCTGATCTGAGATTCTCTCGATTTCCTACAATAACAAATATGCATCAAAGACATGCACAGTTAAGAGAAAAGCTAATGTTAATAACTGAAGGGTCAAGAGCCCAACTAAAGCCAACACTGACCTCTATCATGGTGACATCAAACTTTATTATTTTCAATAAAATATCAACTTCTAAACCTCTGTTATTTCTCAATAAGAATGTTAGTATGAAAGAAGGATTGTAATAAGTGAAGATGCTGGGATTTTGACAGATCTGTTAGTGTTTAATGTTCTGTTGGGATGTAAAGTGTTTCTGTATGGTGTGTTTTGTGTCTGTCACCATTGTGTTGAAGAGTAGAGCCTGTGATTCAGTCCAGGATGAGCAGAGAAATACTGATGAAATGCTGTGTGTTGCTTTATTTAACCGACAGTAACTGTGTAGTTGCTGATGACGTATAATCACATGTAGTTTATAGCAAGATATTTACTTTTTACAGTGAATATGTTTTTTAGTAAAAATTCAGTAAATATATATGTATGTGAAATAACTGTGTTTCTGTTAAAAAGCTTAATGAAGAATTCTGCAATAGTATTTATTATTTAAATTAGGATATTTTACATTCATTTTATGTTTTTTTGTATGGCAGCCATTGCTGACAGTCATTTGACCTTTTTTTCACAGTGAAGGTGTTTGATCATAATAATTTAGGAAATAACTGTAAAACAACAGTGTTTTTCTGTAAAACATTTAAGGACAAAGTTTGGAAAAGTTTTTTGCACTCAATTTAAATTAGGATATTTTACTTTATTTTTACGGTTTTTGTTTGGCAGCCGTAGCTGCCAGTCATTGACCGTTTTTTTACGATTTTATTTTTTACAGTGTAAGCTAGCTTACGCAATACGAGAGAACCTCTCGTAAGAGAACGAATCGGTTACCTAACGTAACCTCGGTTCTCTCTAGATGAGGGAACGAGTATTGCGTTCCTGGCCGTGCTTGTGCTAGCGTTCTCGCTTCATTCTATGAAAACCAGAGTTTACAGCCTAGGACGCCAATATTTATACTCTCTGACCACGCCCGTTTTGGCGGGCTCTGACGCAATGAGAGCATGTCAGACTCTCATTGGCCGAGAGTTCATTCGCGTCTCCTCATAGGCTTAAGCAGTTCTCTGTGAGGGAACCAATGAGCTGCTAGCTAGCCCGCTCATGGTCTGCTGCAGCTGAACTGCGTTGACAATGGATACAAAATTATAGGATAATTTTTTGGCTTCAATTTCTCAGAAAAGATTAGTCTTTCCCGTAGCGTAAGCTAGCTTACGCAATACTCGTTCCCTCATCTAGAGAGAACCGAGGTTACGTTAGGTAACCGATTCGTTTTGTACTATGCTGGCACCCAGCATGCATTGCAACATGAAACTTTTGATTGTCACCATTGTTGAGATTCATGTGCTGATTGTTGATGTCTGTGTGTGTTAAGTTATGCAGATGTTCATAAATAGAAATTATCCCCAGTCTGTCTTATTTATTTACATAAAACATAAAATAGCAAGAAAACAAGGACCGTACCTCTCTTTTTATGAGCGAACACAGCGATCAGTATTCCAGCAATCACAATGAGCACAACACAAACTGAAATCAGGATGACTGACGTCCTCCAAGAATCAAACATATTATCTGCAAAACAAATCAGTAATAAGCACAGTGTAAATCAAACATATTTTTACAGGTGTTTACATAATGTTCAGTTCTGAATGGCACATACACATTTTTATCGATAAGGTTGATACAAAACTCTTATAACTCTTAAAACTCAAAACTATTATAAACCTAATGTTGCTATTGCTTTTAGCTTTACATAATAAGCTGATAATCATTCATTATTTTTACTGCATCAAAAATATCATGTGAAAAATAACTGTCAAGTACAGTAACAGAAGTGTCAGCACTCACTTGTGGTGTTGATCAGTGTCTCCAGCATGTGATGTCTCAGTTTGACTCTGCAGTGAATCTTGCCACTGTGATAAACAATGATGGCCTGTTTCAGACTGAATCTGTCTGTGTTTCTGTGTGTCTCTGCAGTTTCTGAACTCAAACTGACTCCTTCACTGTCCAGCCACTCAAGATCAGGTTCAGGATTCCAACCTTCAGATTCACACTGTAGATGAAGCCCTCCTGAACGATCAAACCCATCTACAGTGATCACTGGAGGACGTCCTACAGCTGCAGATCAACAACAAGAACACACTGTTTAACAGTTAACACTTTTTTGTTAGTTTTTTTTCTGTGAAAAGAGCATGCTAGTTTTCACTGGTTTCCTCACCTTCAACGCTGACATTAAAGGTAGCCTCATCAAACCAGGATTTAGACTGAATAAAACACTTATAAACTCCTTCATCAGAGACTCGGACTGTTGAGAGTTTGAGTGATGTGTTTCCTCTCTGTAGTTCTTGATGGATCAGTTTTGTTCTCCCTCTGTAGGACTGAATCTGATCTGTGTTTCTGTCTTCATGATCATCATAGAGATGCACTAGTGATGAGTCTTTCAGATCAAGTCTAAACCACTCCACTCTCATGTCCACAACACTGAAGCTGGGTTTGACTGAACAGGGCAGAATCACATCTTCACCAGCGACAGCAAATACAGGATCTGCAGGTCCCACTACTTCATACTGCTCTGTTACAAGAGAAAGAGCAGATCTGAACTACACATCCTAAAGGATTTTACCCTGATGTTGTTCCAGACAAACAGTACTGTTCAGGGGTGGCACGGTTCACAAAACCAACGGTTCGGTTTGTATCACGGACGGTTTAGGGTCACAGTTTTCGGTTCTGTACGGTTCTTGTTGTTATTTTTTCATTTAATCTTTAACACTCCAGAAATGTACTTCAGCATATGATATATAGCTTAATTATCCACAATTTATGATACAGCATTAAACAAAAATGTTATATCATGCAATCATGCTCAAACTGAATTTGACTTGACTTTAAGCACATTATTGGGACAATCTCCGAGGAAAGCTAGGTGAGATTTTGATACAGCAAGAGAGAAAACATTGATGACATGCTTTTCGTTTATTTGGCACAAAAGGAGAATGTGTATCACTATCTCTACAGGAACTTATGTGCATTTTTAGCACACAAAGACTGAAATTAACTTGCATTTATCAAACTGCCAACTTAAGTGTAGCTACAAAATGTTTATATTTTAAAAGAAAAAGAGAGGCACTCTTAAAACTCTGTCTTTTAAATAAGTCAAATTACGTGAAACATAATTGCCTATAATTAGGCTATAGCAATATAGCCTAATATATTACTGGCTTTTTCGACTTGAACCGCGATCGGTTTATGACATCAAAGTACCGCGAGAGTGATTGAAAAGCATACGGAGCCGTCGCTCTCGCGGTACTTTGATGTCATTCACCTATCGCTCTGTGCAGCGCCGGTTCAAGTCGAACAAGCCAGTAATAGTAGATTATGGAGTGCTGCAGGTCACGTCACGCGTAGAAATGAGACGTTTTTTTTACAGTCTATGGTCCACATGAGAGCCGTTTTTATGGAAGTAAAATAATGCCAAATGTTTTTTAAACAAAAAGCCTGTTGAATTTGTAAGGACTGGGCTAAAAGGGTGAATCTGAATAACTAAATACATCCTGCTAAAGACCCAAAAAGACTGAATGCAACACACACACACACACTCTCTCTCTCAGGAATGGCCAGAGTCATAAAATGCTTGAAACATTCCATGCCCTTCCCCCATCTCTGCAAGAGAGATAACAGAACTCTGACACACACACACACATAATGGACCTTTACATTACACGCATAAAACGAGCCATTACCAATTGTATACGATATATTCCTGTATGTCTGTGTGTTTCCCAGTCCATGGTAGTTTAGAAATGATCTCCTAGCGTATCAGTGAAACTCTTGAGAGTGTGTATTATGTATTAAGATGTATCTTCATATTCCAAGTATGTGTAAATGTTGTGTTTGGTACCGTTTTAATTATCTCGTTCCAACTGATTTGGTCAGATACAGAAGATTACAGTAAAATGTATGTTTTCTATGTTTTTATCATCTTGTGGAATGATTCTGACAAATTCTGACTGGTCATAAAAGAGGCGGACACGGCCATAGTTTAACTTTGACAAGACAAAGAGAATTTGGCCGCCAAAAGTTTCGTTGAATGTCATAGGCCAGTTCGCACCTCAGAGGTGTGGACTCCAGTTCCCCTAAAGAGGACTGAACCTCCCTCTGGACGCTCTCTTGCAGTCTGACCGTCTCAGAGAAACATGTGATGCTAGCGATCTCCTCATGGAGATCTGATCCCACCATGGATCTTTTCTTTTGTTCGTCTAAAGTTCGTCTCTTCCTTAACTTACTCCCGAGTTCGTCTCCCAGGAAAGGAAATGGACTTTGCCGAACTATTTCCTCGGGTAACGTCACCTCAAAGACTTTAAGCCTTTCAAACACTCGCGCCGAATGCCAACGAACGCCACGTGATCCCCCATGGAACAAAGGCGCCACGCGCAAGCAGCCAACCATGCACGCGCCGGGACGGGCCGTGCAAAAACGCTGCAGCCGTATGGAAAGCCAAAAGGGTCAAATTTCGCCACTATCCAAACGCGTTTCATTCTCAGAACGCCGGTATTTACGGCGTTTAAGACGAAAAGACGCCGCAAATTACGGCGTCCTGTGGTACAAACGCCGCAAATTACGGCGTTTACAAAGCCAATTTGCCGTCATTTTCGGCGTTTTTTTTATCCAGGCAATGACGCCGTTTCTGACGCCGGAGGCCACCCACAGTGCGCCGTTATTTGCGGCGCTTCTGTCTGACAAAGACGGCGTAAAAAGCGGCGTTTTGTATAATATTATAAGCAGCCCCACCCTTTTCTTCAAAGTTCAGCCCATCTAATGGATGGAAAGACAAATGTAGTAGATTGTCGATCTGAATAGCGATCCGTCTTTAAGGTTCTGTTTTTGGAATGTTATCCTGTCAAATTTTTATTTCTTCATTGGGCATGTGTAGGCTATCGCTTTTTTCCTTTATCGTATGTAAATATATAGTATGATCCAAGCCTCTGTTTACATTCATGTCTGTGAAATACATTCTGCGTGCACGGCAGTCAATGTCGTTTTGCTCTTAGTGACAGAGGTTCGACTCCCAGGTTCGACCCTATTTTTATCTGCTTCGTTTCTTTTGTATTGGTCTGTTGTATGTCTTTTAAATTTCGAAAGACTACCCGATAGCTGACAACTGACTGAGTAAATGACAGCAGCAGCTGTTTTAAGCCCGCTTATAGTGGCTGCTGATGTGGGTCCCTTTATTGCACTGATTATAATGAGATGGGCAGATGCTTCACGATATAGTCCATTTCGCTTTTTAAGATCAATAAGACTTAAGATCATAAGAAGCAGTTCCCAGGATACACGAAAGGAGGTAGAGCCTTCCTAAACGATTCAACTATAAAACAAGAGATGACGCTCCAGCCCAAGCGCGGACTACCGCTGCTATCGACCATCATACAAGACAGGCTATTTCACATATAAATTATTTATTATCACGCTGCCCTTGTCTTAAAATAGACACTCATATTTGCTAACGGTGAATAATAGGCTATATTTTGAACTACCATTCATTCTGATGTGATATAACGATTATATGACGGGTTTTTTATTTTTATTTTAGTCTTTGCTGCCACATACATATTATTTTCTCGTAATAACGAGATCTTATTTTGTTAAAAACGAATTTTTTTCGCGTAATAACAAGATGTTATGTCGTTGAAACTGCATATTTTCTTGGCCTTGTGAGGACATGAGTCATGGCTACAAAATATGCCTTATCCACATTTTATTATCCACATAAAATGTATAGCCTATCACGCCTCTATCACACTTCTACGTTCAAAAAGCTTAAGCAAATAGTAGCAGCCCCAATCAGAGGCGAACACTGAATAGGAGCCCTAGGCAAAATTAATAAATGAGCCGCTTTTTAAAAATGTATATTTTATATGCTATACGTTTTCTACATGTGTATTATGTATGTGTATATATATATATATATATATATATATATATATGTGTGTGTGTGTGTGTGTGTGTGTGAATAGACTATCTTCATTACCTGATATAATTAAACAAAAAATAGGCCTAGTCGAAACACACACAGCCTAAGTTGTTTATTTTTTACAACATTGTGTTCTTATTTTGTTAAACGAAATGTCAATCTTCGTCTTTATAACAGATCAATACAATTCAATATAAATAATCTTCAAGATACAGCCTACAATCTTACATGTAAAGAATTGTCGCCTTTGTCATTTGTGTGGTGGAATCAGCAATGCTACCTATATAGAAATGTATCTTAATTTAAACCTTATTTTATTAGTTCATATAACTATGTCAACTAGTAAAGAGCTGGAAATGTATTAAATAATGTCAAATATTAAATGTAGGATATTAAATTGTGCACCCCTTCTACAGATGTAGGCTTCATATTTGATTTGCTATTTGGTATGTATTGTTTTTTATCATGGTGTTGTTGAAGAAAATGAAACGTTTTTGTTCCTCGTTTTTACGAAGTTCTGCAGGCTAAGTTTGTATGATGTAGGCCTACTATACTTCTGTAATACGGGATCTTATTGTTTTGGTGAGAAGTCTGTTTCTGCAGGTTATGCAAAAAAAAAAAAAAAAAAAAATTAAAAATAAGTTTGTGGTATTCACACCCACTCGAGCGATTTATTTGCTAAAAAGAAGCTATTGAGTATCGTCGAGAATTGGATTCGATTAAACTCGCCAATAGCGCGCAAGGTGGATAAGCCGGTTTGTGATTGGTTCCCGCAAATCTGTAAAGGAAGCAGCAGATATAAATGTACAGGTTTCCAACCTGTCCCGAGATTTACTGTCTACGGTCTTGAGCGGCAGGGCGAAATCAAATGGCCGGCAGATAAGACTGGTTCTACCATTTTACTAATATGCTTATTAAAAAGAATCATTAGCCTATTAATAAATTAAATTGGCTTCTAATCTATTTCTAAAGCCGTTTTCACAATTTTTGTATCATGGCAATTAGCATTCCAATTTTGATACTGGTAGGTGGAATTAATTGTCAACAAAGCAAACTATTTGAGTAAAAGTGTGAACAGTGTACACTACTAACTGCTCAAAATATTCATTTATGGAGACAAAGATGGAGGATTTAATATTACAGCTTTGATAAGAGTTTGGTTAAATTATCCCAATAACAAACAAACAGTCTTTTCTTTTCCTCAGTTGCATACATTTATTTAACCAGCTGTAGCCTAGATGAAGTCTCTAATGCTTAATATAAGTAAAACAACATAAAATAAAAGTACGGACAAGCCAGGTTACAATTAAACACATTTATGGTCAAATAAACTGCAGAACAACAATTTTCTCCCAGAGAAACCATATGAAAAAAAAAAAAAAAAAAATACCTGAAAGGGACAACCACATGTCTTCATAGACATTGACACATTTTGCCATAGCCTCAGTAAAGCCAGAACTCTTTGGAGTATGGGTATTCCCAGCGAACCTCTGTCCTCACCAAGAGTTGCTGCAAACAATTTTGCTCTAGTTCAAACACTGTATCAGGAACATGCACTCTTTCCTGCCACTGGAACAGAGAAACCATATAAAAAATAAAAAATAAAGAATACCTGAAAGGACAACGACATGTCTTCATAGACATTATGACACATTTTGCCGTAGACTACATGCATTATTGCCTCGGGAAAGCTAATCAGACTTTTCCAAAGCCCACAGAACCTTTAATGGACATCTGCATTAAGTCTTTAAAAATGGCCTCTTCTGTAATGCCTCTTGGCAGATACAAAATGAGGGCACAGGTGGAAGAGAATGGAAATCGCTGGCTTCCAGGTTCTTGATCATAAAATTGTATTTCACAGTTGTGTGGAAAACCCAGTGGGGGCACAGAATCTGCTCCGGTAACAAAGATGAGTAGGTCCTCCAAAGTAACATCTAGCTCGTTATCTATATAAACAGAAAAATACAAATGTTACTTTGACCTGGGTTAGAATCGTGAAGGAAAATGAGTAGCTAAACTGGAGAGCATGTAGATGTGAATTTGAGAACTTGTTAACAGCAAATTAGTGTTTTATTGGTTGGCGCCTGGCCAATGAAATGGGACTTTTGTGCGGGATGGTGTCACGACACCCATGCCTCTGGGAAGTTCTAAAACGCTAACATGGCTTAGTGCATCAGTTATATTACACAAGATGTAAATGGTATTCTAAAGATCAGTAAACACCAAATTAAAACAGCATATGTACAGAAAAGCCGTATTTCACTTTCACACAGTTGCTAAAATATATTACTTTGCGCACTTCATATTGCGGTCCTGCAAAGATGACAAAGAATTTACTCACATTGGCCCTCATTTATCATTCTTGCGTAGAAACGGGCGTATATGTTGGCATAAGATTATGCTTACACTCCTCTCACCGCCTGATTTATGAAGCTGTACGTGCGTACCTTTGAAATCCAGGTGTGCGTTCAATTTCGAATCATGTCACATGTATTGGGATGTACAATAGTGATGATGATGATGTGATGTGGAGTACCATTCATTCACATTAATAATTGTATGACAATTTGTAATATTCTTATTATTATTATTTGTATTAATGACGCTTGTTATTATTTAGAAGAAAAATGTTGTTATTTTTATTTGTATTATTATTATTATTATTTAAAAGAAGAAGAATGTATTATTTATTTTTTTGTCAGTCTGAATTTTTTTTTGGTCATTGAAAGCCTTTCATTACCGAACCCAGTCCGTGCGCACCTGCCGGGGATAATCCTGAAACGCCAGTTAAAGCGCACAGGCTCGCAACTGAAGGAATAGGCAGCAGGCTACATATGGCTATAAATTAAAAATTGTTGGTGAAGGCACACAAATTAAACACTGATGTCCACGTTGCACAAAAATAAACACTGAAGTTTATAATTACTATGTTTGTGGGTTTTAGTGTGCTGTTTTAGTTTGGTGTTTATTGAGTTTTATAATATCATTTACTTCTTTTAAATCACTTTCTTAATGCATTAAGCAACATTAACATTTTAGAATGTACCTGAGGTGGGGTGTTGTGATACAAAAAAAGTCCCATTTCATTGGCTAGGTGCTAACCAATAAAACGACTCCTCTGAGCCTAGGTTTGTGACATTTTTCTGCAAGTGCGAATCTCAACACTTAACATTTCACATTGGAGCTAAGTTGTGTAAATTGTAGCGTACAAGTACGAATATCTACTGTAAAAGTTTTCAAATTCACATCTACATGCTCTCAAGTTAAGCTACCCATTTTCCTTCATAATTTAATAGTTTATTGCAACATTTGCATAATACATTTTACACAAATGACTTACTTTCAATTGACATCAACCACCACTCCCAAAGAAAGATGGTGTCCTCCTCTTGGTCTCTTTTGTTGCTGCCTTGCAAACTCCATTTAATGTCAAAGAGTCCTCGCACATCATTCCGTGACAGCTTTTTAGATGTGTGAGTGAAGAGTGGTGCAAACGTTTCCCAGTTTTTCTGCACAACTTGCCACATGTTGCCACAAGCATTCATTCCGGCGATGAACTGCTGTATCATGCTGGAAACCCTAAAATGAAAACCATTATCTGTAACACTTTATTTTACGGTGCCGTGATACAGAGTAATTACTTAATTAATTGCTTAGTAGTAAACATTGTAATAACATGTAACAAAATGTAATTAACATGTAACTAAGTTATGGAACAGCCTTTACTTACAGATTGTAATTACACTCATGTAATAGGCAGCTACTGTTACACATGTGTAACAGGCCGAGTCAGTTACATACGTGTTACCGACTTGGTACAATGTAACATGTACTTAAATATGTTACTAAGGTAAAACGCCTGCAGTTACACATGGTCATTCTGTACCTTCTAAAATAAAGTGTATCAAGTACTTAAGTGCACTTCATGAGTATCTACATACCTTATCCATCTGAATTAACCCACTAGTTCACAGCTTAAATACATACATTATCTTCTTAATTACATTCACTTTACATAATATTACACAGGTATAAGCTACATAAAATAAAGTGTATCAAGATTGTACTTAAGTGTACTTCATGTGTATCTACAAACCTAATCTATATGTAGTTTAGTATAAATTAGGCTTAACTCCCTCGTTCACAGCATAAATGCATGCGGTAGCTTCCTAATTACATTGCAATTACATAATATTACACAGGGATAAGCTACGTAAAATAAAGTGTATCAAGATTGTACTTAAGTGTAATACATGTGTATCTACATACCTTATACACATGAAGTACAATTAATACACTATTTTAGAAGGTACAAAATGAACATGTGGAACTGCAGGCTTTTTTCACACCTTAGTAACATATTCAAATACTTGTTGTTACATTGAGTAGTACAATATACTTTTTTATATAATTACATTGTACAGTACCAAGTCGGTAATACGTATGCAACCGACTCGGCCTGTTACACATGTGTAACAGTATCTGCCTATTAATTACAATCTGTAAGTACAGGCTGTTCCATAACTTTGTTACATGTTAATTACATTTCGTTACATTGTGTTACATGTTATTACAGCGTCTACTACTAAGTAATTAATTAAGTAATTACTCTGTATCACGGACACCGTAAAATAAAGTGTTACCCAATTATCTTTTAAGGTGTTGGTATTTAATTGCATTTCAAACATCTTTTTTTGTGATAATACCAGAAAATGTGTGTTCTTATAAAAAAAATTGTGGCTAATATGACATAATTAATGACATTTGAAGAACTCTTACCATTGGCAGTGACATGAAGTTGTCAAAATGCGCTTTTCTCAAAACTAGTATTTTTTAATAATTAGCGAACCGTATAAATAATTAAAATAATTAAAATGCATAACCTGTGGTACATGTAGTGGGTGATTATTTGTTGGTAGATAGCAGGGAAATCAGCAAGTGATGCAGAATATATGTTGGGGATCCCACATTCAGCAATCCAGTCCCCCAGTTCCATTTTGACCTCCAACATCTCCGCTGTGGTCTTGCATGGTAAAATCTAAATTTTGTTCAAATTGATAAACACATTGTTAAAATGCATAATTATGACAAAATAATCTACTCATTATGCATTCACTCTGTGTCTATGACAGTTATTTATTAATACCTTTTCCAGTCGATGTTGTATATCTGTGTCATGTAAAGTTTCTAGTTCAAATGTGCTTAGGTCTATGGTCTGACTCCGACCACACATCATTTCGAAAAGGTGATGATTAAGGCATTTAATCCCAGGTCCATTGTGAAGAATGGACCATGCAGTCAGCTTTCCTGCTGTGTAGAATTTATTCTGCTGCAGTGCGTCCTGATTGTATGAAAAGAGGACGTTTCCAGGTTTCCCCTCAAAAATGCCAAGGGAGGATTGTACTTCGCTCATGAGAATTCTAAAAAAAAAAAGGACAAAGATGTCACATTTCATGAAAACACTATACATCCTATTTTTTTGGGGTGTAAAAACTTAAAATCAGCAATCACCTGAAAAACTCACGACGTGGTCCACCATAATCTTCGGCCATTTCACCAACAAATTCAATATTTGGTGTTTTATGCCATTCAAAGTAGGATTTCTGAAGAGCAACACATGCACTATGTAAAACTCTTCTCCGGCGGGCCACGACAGTGACATGTGTGGTCAGGTCTATATTGTCCCCCCTGAATTCATTCAAAACATCCACAAGGTCTCTTTGCAACTGTAAAAACAAAGGATAAAAAAATATTATTTAAAGGGTAACTAAACCCCTGGTCAGAGCCTGACTCCACCCACTGGTAATAATTGAAAAATGCTGAAAAAGTGGGCAGACCCCAGCGGAGACAGAGGGGACAAAATAGATGCTAAAACACTCTATCCTGATCGTTTTCAATACTCGCAATTCCAACTCCTGACTCCCTACAGTGGTTTTGACGAAACAAGATGGTTTTTATACAGCTGCTCGTGCCAAGAGTGTGGTGAGCTGAAACCTGCGTACGTCACGAAGTGCGGAACATCCAAAAGGAAAATTCAACTGCAGTAGCCACCGTTCAACCTGAAGAGGGCAGCACTAAGACGTTTTTACACCATATATTGCAGAAATAAATCACACAAATGTCAAAAATGTTACTCGAATCAATGACTGGTATTAATAAAGATCCATTCTTACAGATCATTAACTAAAAAAAGTTGGTTTAGGGTTTAGTTACTCTTAAAGGAGCTGTATGTAAGAAATTTATTTCAAATAATCATAAAATGGCCCTGATATGTCACTAGACATTAAGAAATCATGTTCATTTCAAATACTTATATCACTGACAACAGCAGTCCGGCCAGGATATTATCATTTAAAAAGTGTTGTTGCAGCCCTCAACTGTCATGTTGTGTTTTGGTCTGATGCTCTGACCTCCACCGATCTACCAATCACGAAGTCAGTTGTGTTGCAGCATTCGGGTTGCCAGATCTGCTCTAGTTACCACAGCTGCAGCTACAAACGTGTGGGGTAAAAAAGTTTGATCCTGCAGCATATCTGGCAACCTCGAGTCAGGGGGGAGGGGATACACCGCTCTACAGAAATTTGAAACTGATTGCAGTACCAGTTTTGTCCACAATCTTACATACAGCTCCTTTAACATTCATTTAAGACATTCTTCAAGGTATGAGTTGCACTTACATCAGGACTGTAGCATCTTGGAGGTGAAGCCAGCATGTCATTATCTAAAGCCTCAGGATCACTGTCAGTCTCCCTGTAATCCATTCACAGCAAAATCAGTGTTATTGTCTCAAAACAATAAACCAGTTTAAACATATACATTGTATCATTAAATGTTGAATTGTTCATTCAGTAAATTAAAATTAGGTTTATATCACAAGAGATAATTGTCCATTAATCAAAGTTTATTTATTTTATTTTTTTTATGATATTTTTTTTTTTAAATGTTATTAATGATGACACTTGCTGTTCATGAAGAACTGTTTATACACTTGATAAAAAGCAAGCACAAAAACAATACATCAGGGGTGGGCGATCCTGGTACTTGATGGCCACTGTCCTGCAGATTTTATCTCCAGCTGTAAAAACATATGATCCAGCTAATCAAGGTACAGGATTATAAACTACCAGGCAGGCAGGTGTGTTCTTGGAGATGGTTGGAGCTATATGTTGCAGGACATGGGCCCTCCAGGACCAGGATTCCAGTGTATATTCAATATAGATGATTTCCCTCACCAAAACAAATTGCAAAAGCACACTGATTAAGTAGTTTTCTCTTACAGACTATGATTATTAATAATTTGTAAAGCAATTGAGCAACCTTGATTCCTCGAAAAAACTGCCATGTCTTTGTTGATAATGCTGCAAAACAAAAAGTAGTTGTTATCTCTTGATCTAAAAGATAATGAAATAAAATCATAATGTCATATTCTACACTAACATCAACTTCAGAGGGGCTTCGAGTGTTTGAAGACATGTTTACTGTTGTGGAGGTTGAGGGGGTTGACACAGATGTATGGTTTTGCCCTGGAGATGCAGCTGTGTTTGGGGAAATAGGTGGAGATGACTCAGTTGCCTGGTTTGGTGTGGTTTGGCTTGGAATCTCCTAACAAACACAACAAAAAATTATTTTAAACATTATTTCAGCATACAAGCTAAACCTGTGAATGTTTATGGCCAGTGCTGGGCAGTTACTAGTTACTAGTAAGGGTAAGGGCTAGTTAGTAACCCTAACTCTGGTAGTTAGTAACTAGTTATAGTAATAATATTACTTTTCCTGGTAACTAGTAATGTAAGTAATACAGGGTTCCCACACCTTGGTTAACATCAAATTCAAGGACCTTTCAAGGACTTTCCAGGTCCAAAACCCTCAAATTCAAGGACTTAATGTGGGGACACATTTCAAGTGAGAGCAAGGTTACATCCATAGACAGTATAAGAAATGGACAGAGCCATCTCATTGGATCTCAATTGAGACAAGTGAAGCCCATTTTTAGCGATTTTTTAGCACTTCCGTCCCTGACGCGCAGACTCAAACGTCTCAAACTAAGCTTGATGACGTGAGCAACCTGTCTGACAGATGTACATCTTCTAGTAGCTGTGCGTGCAAACTGCCAACGTTAATCTTGCAGAGACGGCGAGCTTGAGCAAAGAGTTCTTTGGCGTGAGTGAGCAGGAGTAAGTATTCTGATTCATTATTCTGTATAGTATTTATTTTAAAATGTAACGCCAGTACGCCTCCTGTCTGTACCACAGACAGTATATAAGGGTCTGTACGGTAATGCGACAGAGTGTCGAGTGGTTATGACGCAATCTTTAGCCTATTTTTACAAAAACGGTTTCTACGGGGCCATAATGTAACATAGAAAGTAATGGAGCCCATTATACATTGTCGTGTTTCTTTAGAAATAAATAATGGACAAATGGAGTCTTTAAACGCCTCAGATGTAATGTTATTCGCTGTCAAAGTGACGCCAAAATGAATGGGAGTCAATGGCAATGCTAACGCATGTGAAGTTCTGCTACAAGATGGCGGCACCCGGCCGGCTTCAACTTCCGGTCGATGGATTACCCCCTTGGTTACATCGTGTATGTAAGATACATTGTTACAGTTTTCATCTGTCAAACAACTAGGCAAAAAAGTTTTTTTTTTTTGCATTTATTTTTGGCCATATGACAGTGATCTGATATTCCATTTGTCGTATTTATGTTTTGCATAAAATGGAAGAATATTTGGTAAATCCTAATCCTATCAAAAAAATAATGATAATCAAATAAAAAATAAAATGTGTCAAGGTCCTGGAACTGATTATGTAAACATGACAACTTGACAGCTCAACAATAAAACATGAGAAAACATGAGATCAAGTATATGAACTTGCAACAGAACAAATATTATTTTACATTTGATTAATTTATTTATTTCTACAAAGCTCTTCAGTATATGCTGGTGTAATAATAAAAAAGTGCATTACACCTGTTTACATTGCATGTTTTCAAGACTCTGTCGCTCTGGAAAAAAAAAGATGCAAACATGCATTAGCCTAACCACCAAATGAATGTCTGGGACCTGGGTCATGTAAGTTATGGGACAAATCCACTGTCTATGGACAAATCACATCCCGGATTGATTTGATACGGAACGCATCATTTTACATTTAAATAAGGGCCAAAAAAAGAAAAATTCTTTGTAATCTTCTTTGGTGAGCCAAATATATTGACACTTGAGTTTTCCAAGCATCACATTTCAGCGCTTTCAGGCTATTTTTGCAATGTTTCACAGTGTGTCTGCGAAATATTAAAGAACAACTCCAGCGCAAAATGAACCTTTGGTCTAATAACACATTGGTATCTAGTCAACCGTTCTCTGAGATTTGATTTCATGATGATCGAATGTAAAGAGTCCACTTCGCGGATACAGGTTGGAGCCATCTTTGGAAAAAGTCGAACCACGAACGATGTGCCAAGTGAGCTGAACTGTATGAAGTTCAGCAAACTTCTGAACTGTATGAACAGCGTTCGGGGATCGATTTATCGAGTCTGTTTTCCAAAGATGGCTCAGGCCTGTATACACAAAGTGAGCTGTCTTTATAAAGTATCTTCTTATTAAACGGTCTGTACTCTTACAATGTTCTCAATGCTTGTGTTTTGCATGTATGGACACTCATTATGTTATTGTGTTAGTGTGGGGCTATTTTGAGCCTTGTTAGTGGTATTAAGTAGCGATTTTTATTTTTCATTACTCTATGCCCTATATACTAGCGTTATACACTAAACAGTTTTTAGAGATAAAACTCTTTATATTCGATTATCATGAAATCAAATCTCAGAGAACGGTTGACTAGGTACCGATGTGTTATTTGACAACAGGTTCATTTTGCGCCGGAGTTCTCCTTTAAGGTACCATCGTAGTAGTTTTGTGCGCACATGAACGTTATGGCAACGTACAACACAAAGTGCCTTGTGCGGGAAACACCTGACTTAACCATTGGACTTAGTGTGTAAATGCGCGTAACTAACGTAAATCAAGCAAGCTAGTGTGCATAGGCCACGAAGTGTTGGCGAAATAACACATTATAAAGCGGACCCGAGAGATGTAATATGGAACCCAATAACTCATTACAAATACAAGTAATAGTATTAATAACATAATATAATTATATTAGTAATAATATTAGTTACCATCCCAAAAAATGTCTGCTTACTTTCTATTGTTATCGATTGTCAAGCTAGCTTCGTCATATAGAAGCTAGTCCACATCATATAGTGGCTGGAAATATAGCCATTATGCTAATTTTGTAGGGAGAAAGAAAGTAAGACAAAAACATCAATGTCACGTGTAAATTGTGAAGTGGTACTAAGACTTTGTCTACTGTCATCAACTCAACCTTAAATATCCTGAATCATCTTCATCGCAATAGGCGCACACACACACACACACACGCATACACACAAAAACGGTTTAAAATTAAACATGGATTCAAGTAGTAAGTATATCACCTATTGTAATAGAGTTTGCCTTAATTGTTGTGGGTGCCTACTGATTTATTTGTCTACTTTTATATTTTAAGGTCATATTTAAGTGAAAAATACAAAGGCCACATTCCACTATTTTTGGTTGCCAGATAAATACATAGCATACTCTATACATTTATTTCATCATCAGATTAAATTTGCTGGCATTTGTTGGTTTCTTTTTTGCTCTTCCAACATGTTTGGTTGGTTCTACCTGCTTGAGCCCTGTTGCAGATTTTACTATGTTGCTGTTAATATGTTATTAAATAACAGAAGTTTAAGAAAATACTCCTCATTTATCTGTAACTTACATAGATTCACAGGCTTCAAAAATGATGTAATTACCAATTTTTGGGGTGTAACGGAAAATTAATGTAAATAGTTGTGTAACTAATTACTGTTGAGTAATAAGTAAATTAATAAATTATTACTCTATAAATAATGACTAACAATATTACTTTTGAAAGGAGTAACTAGTAATGAGTAAAATAATTAATTTTTGAGTAACTAGCCCAGCACTGTTTATGGCAACATATATTTTCAGTGATTACAGAAATATAAACACGGAAAATGTACACATTTGTTATTTCTGATCTAAAAGATAATGAAATAAAATCATAATGTCATATTCTACACTAACATCAACTTCAGAGGGGCTTCGAGTGTTTGAAGACATGTTTACTGTTGTGGAGGTTGAGGGGGTTGACACAGATGTATGGTTTTGCCCTGGAGATGCAGCTGTGTTTGGGGAAATAGGTGGAGATGACTCAGTTGCCTGGTTTGGTGTGGTTTGGCTTGGAATCTCCTAACAAACACAACAAAAAATTATTTTAAACATTATTTCAGCATACAAGCTAAAGATGTGGTGGTTTATGACTATAACATATATTTCAGCACTTACAGAAATATGAGCAGGAAAATTTACATATCTGTTTGTAAAGCAAGGGTGAAAATATTGCCTACCAGTGGTCTAATATATAGAGCTGACCGGCCCAGCACATTACATGCTTTAATTTCTGCTGGCACTGACAGCTGAATTGGTATAACCTTTCGGTCTCCGGCTACCTTGCAAAATTCAAACCTTTCTGGGAGGTCTGGGAATTTTTCCCTCAGCACCTCCTTAAATTCAAATTCATTAAGGTGCAAAGGGACAATCACTTTGCATTGTGGAGTTCCATCTGGGAAAATATAAAAAACATGCATTTTCATTTAACAATATAC